CGGTTGCCTACCGCTGGCAGGCAGAGATCATCAAGAAAACCTTCCTTGAAAGACTAGGTCTGGATCAGGACAACAGCATAGCCATCTCACCCCCATTACAAGATGAGCAAGCGCTGAGTAATAAGCAACAGCAATCTGCTTCTGGGGAGGGGCACAGCTTCAAGAGACTGACTGGAGACGCGCACACAAGGAAAGTCTTTAGCCTAGGGTGGGCCAAGAACATTGAGGAAAAACCCTCTAGGAAATCAGTTGTTCCCCATAAACACAACTCAAGAGGAATCTGAAGCTGGTGGTGCACCAAGGTAACAAAGAAAGTCCCAATCTCAGGTCTCATCCTGGCTAGGGAACTCAGCAGTCTCACTGAAGTGCTGGCAGAACCAGCAGTATGCCATTTCTAGACAATTTTTTACCTCCACCTCTACTGTCCTTTAAAAAAAAACTCATTGTGTAGTCTAGGCTGGCTTCAAACTTGTGATCCTCTTGCCTCTAATGTCTTGACACACAATATCAATAACATTATAAGACACCCACAAAAAAGAGAAAAAAGCCACTGTCAAGAGCCAAATCAATCAACACAACCAAACTCAGGTATGGCAAGGAATTTAAAAATAATATGCTCAATGCTGTAGTGAAAATATTGATGCCATGCATATACAGATAAGGGATTTTAGCAATGAGATAGAAATTACAGGGAATGAAATAGAAATGCTAAAAATGAAAATAAAGATGAAGACTCTCCATTAGGACTCATCACAGCCAAAGAAAGAATTAGCAAACATGAAGATATGGTAATAGAAATTACCAAAACTTCACTGAGCCTGGTGGTACATGCCTGTAATCTCAGCTACTCGGGAGATGGAGTTAGGAGTTTGAGATCCGAGTCCAGCCCTGGGCAAAAACAATGAGACCCTATCTGAAAAACAAAACAAAACAAAAACAACTACAGCAAAATGGCTGGGAGGGGTGCATGCCTCAAGTGATAGAATACTTGCCTATCATGATGGAGGCCCTGAGTTCAACACCCAGCAACAACAACAACAACAAAAAAATTAGCAAAACTTCAACACAAAGAAAAAAAAGATAAAGGATAAGAAACAAATGACTAGAGCATCAATACCTGTGGAAGATGACATCAAATAGACTAAAAAATGTACAGTTGGAATCCATGAAGAAGAATGGTAATAGGGCAGAAAAAAGATTTGAAGAGTCAAAACCAGGCTTGGTGGTGCGTGCCTATGATCCCAGCACTTGGGAGACTGAGGCAGAAGGACTGGAAGTTGGAGGCCAGTCTGACTACATATCAAGACCCTCTCTCAAAACAAAACAAAACAAAACAAAAAGCTGGGAGTGTGGCTCAAGTGGTAGAGTGCCTGCCCAGTAAGCACAAGGCTCTGAATTCAAACTCCAGTATTACCAAATAAAAAAAATTTTTTTGAAGAGTTAATGGCCAAAAAATTTCCAAAAGTAGCCAAACACATCAAACTACAGAGGCAAGAGGGTCAGAGAACCTAAAGAAGGATGGATAATAACAAAATATTCAAACTGCTAAAAATCAAACAGAGTCTTGAAGACAACCAGAGGAGAAAACATTACCTACAGAAGAACAAAGAGAAAGCTGTGCATGGGGCTGCACATCTGTAATGTCAGTACTGAGGCAGGAGATTTGTGAGTTGGAGGCCAGCCTGAACTACATAGCAAGACCCTGTCTTAAAAGAAAAAGAAAAAAAGAAGAACAGCAACAAAGATAAGAATTATACCAGAATTTTCATCAGAAACTATGCAAGACATAAGGTGGAGTACGGAGGTGGAGTGGGGGTTGCATCTAAAGTACTAACAGGAGATAAAAACTATGAGCTTAGAATTGTATAGCTTGAGAACATTGCTTTTTTAGACCAAAAAACCAGGAGAATGTATCATAAGCAGACTTGCACTATAAAAATTATTAAAATAAATTATTTAAACAGAAGGAAGATGATACTAAAATGAAGGTATTTATATTATATTCATATAAATGAACATATACATTTATTTAGACAGGGTCTTGCTATGTAGCCCAGGTTTTTTATATTCTCATTTTTATTTATCTAAGAGAAACTGCTGTAAATTGTTTAAAGCAAAATAGTGCTGATGCTTTGTGGGTTTACGGCATATCTAAAAGTAAAATGTATGACAACAATAGTAACGAAGGTTGGCAGGGAGGGGTGGGACTGCTCTGTTCTAAGTTTCTTATGCTACAGGTGAAGTGGTATATTATTATTTGAAAGTTGGGGCTGGCGTAGCTCAGTGACAGAGCACCTGCTTAGCATGCACAAGGCTCTGGGTTCGATTCTGAGCACTAATAGTAAAAATAATGCTGGATGATGATAATGGTGATGATAATTCCCAACACTAATAGTAATAATAAGAAGAAGAAGTTGATAGTGGAGATGAAAAAGGAATCATTAATGTGTTTAATATCAAAAATAAAGAAAGACCGTAAAACATCTCACTGTTAAAAATGTTGCTTACATGCTGAAAATATAAAACACTAAACACTGGAAAAAAATTGAAAAGAATGTAAAATTCTTAATTAAAAGGAGGCAAGGACAAAAAGAAGATAAGAGAAAAAAGGAACAAAAACCTTTGGAAAAAAATATAAAACAACTAGGATGAAAGTAAGTTTTTGAAAAATAAACTCTACCACTGAGAAAATTATTTTTACTGTCATGTTGATTAGGAGGCAGTGTGGCTGGCAGGAAACATAACTGTGGAGTAAAACAAAACTGTTTCAGCTGTATTTTAGTACAAACCCTGGGGCCTCAGGAGTTGAATGGTTTACTCTTTAACGTGCGTTCCTCGTTGGTAAATGTGGGTGATGATGCAAAGTTAATGGAGTTGCTAGGAAGATGGAAAGAGATACTACACACAGTTCTTGGTAGAGTAGGTGGTCTGAGGACCACAGTTTGAAAACCACCAATGCATGCCTATATTCCCAGGACTCGGGAGGCTGAGGGAGGAAAATGGAGAGTTCAAGGCCAGCATGGGCTACACAGGAAGGCCTTGTCTCCCTGCCATGTCCAAAAAACTCAAACAAAAAACCAGTTTTTTCCCTAGCTCCAAGGATGCATTGTTCTCTTCCTCATTTTCAGTTTACTTGCGTTAATGAGACTGCTTGCTTCCAGACTTTCTGCCATCCAATCCATGCTTTGCTGCTAGGTTAACATTTCTAAAATGCCAGGCTAATACCACTCTGTCTTAGTGCCTCCCCACGGTGCAAGACTATATCCTAGGGCTGGTGAGCTCACATAGAACACCTGCCTAGCAAGCATGAGGCTGAGTTCAGACCCTAGTATGGCCAAAAAGAAAAAAAAAAGGTTTAAGACTGTAGCCAACCAGAATAGTTTGTGATCTGGCCTCTGGCGACTTTATTAACCTGTAACTTCCCAATGTATTTCTTATGCTCTAGCCTTACTGGAGTTTTCTAAAGACATGATCCCATTTCACGCCTTTTTCACTTCCTTCTTCCTGGAAGTGTCCTTTGAAAGTTCTCAGTCTTAAGATACTTTGAGACAGGGTCTCGCTGTGTCGCCCAGGCTGGTTTCAAACTCGATCCTGCCTCAGCCTCTCATGTGCTGAGATTATGGGTCTGCAACACCACATCCAGCCAATTGTACAATTTTATTTGGTGGTACTGGTGTTGAACTGTGCTTTGTGCTTACTAGGCAGGCTCTCTACCACCTGAGCCATCATGCCCCCAGCCCTTTTTGCTCTGGTTATTTTTGAGAGAGGGTCTTCCTTTATGCCCAGGTTGGCCTGGACCATGATCCTCTTACTTTGTTTCCCCACATAGCTGAGATGACAGGCACTTGCCACTGCACCTAGCCATTGGTTGACATGAAATCTCATGAACTTTTTGCCCAGGCTGGCCTCAAACTGGCCCTCCTGGTCACCTCCCAAGTAGCTGGGATTACAAGCATGAGCCATCATGCCCAGCTTCAACTGATGTTTATTGATCAAATGAGTGAATGAGTTGTATGACAATGCCACAGTGAGTATTTTTATTTATTCAACATATGTATCAGGTACTGTGTTAGGTACTGGAACAAAGTAAAATCATGGCATGTATGTTATGATTATTGACATTCTTTGAAGAAAAATTCACAAGAGTAGTTTCCTTGTCTTTAACCCGGTTCATCCTTCATACTACTTTGTTTTAACCTCCCAGCCAGAAATGCTTTCCTGTTGCTGCCAATTTGATGGGGATTAACGTTTAGAAGAAGTTAAGAAAATATATGTGGATGAACTGGCAGGCGAGATTTTAATAAGTTTCTTTATTGGCTTTTGACCCTATAAAAGTTTCTGACTGATCTTTTCTACTATTCTCTTAAAGTCACAATTACAAGTAGTGAAAAGTTACATTTTTCCTAAATGACCTTTTTAAAGGATAGAGACAAATTAGGAACCTGAGTTAAAACTACATACCCAACACATATAGATCCTATGTAGCTAAGAACTCAGGTAGGCAGACTGGAAGCCTAGGCCCCTTGGGATGAGTTTCTAAGGTTCCTTTGCCCCTGTGGTTCTTGTCCCTATTGCTTTTTATTTTTGTGAATCACATAGTATTCTCTACTATGGACTTCTAAAACTTAAATGTAGGCAGTGTGCAGTTCCTGCTGTGTGTCTACTCTCCCTTCCCTGGAATCCTGCCAGGCTGGATTCTCTGTCCTCTTTTGATCTTTAGCTACAGTACTGTCAGATCAGATGCTGTTGCCTACTTGAAATCCCTGGAATGAGTGAGACGATGGTCGCCATGATAATGTCCAAGCCTGAAGCACCCCTTGCCCGCATGGTCCTATGGTGACTTACTGTGGATCATGCCCTATGTACATGGGATCTGGCAGGGGTAAGAGCCATGCTGTGACCTCAGGCAACTTCATTCTCCTGAGACATTACGAGTATCTGGAAATGAACAGCGGTTTGGAGCAAATCGAATGTTCTAACCAGAGTCTCTCTGATTGCAGGGTTGCCTCACTCACAGAGTTCTCCAGCTGTCAGCAGCACCTGCACTAAAGTGCTCTATTTCACTGACCGGTCACTTACGCCCTTCATGGTCAATATACCAAAGAGGTGAGATGAGATGCTGGGATCATTATTTTTCTGTAAGAAAGGAAAGCAAGGCAGAACCGTCAGAGACTTCCCAAATGAGGAGCTCAAAGGTGTTTGAAAAGCAATTGTGTGGATTGAAGAGCTCAAGGGAGAGACTCCAGTTCTAACTTTGGCAGTAACTAGTGGCACTGTAAAGGCCACTTTACTATTGTAAAATAATAGAATTTCCAGTCTTGATAACTACACAGATAATGCTCCAAGTTTGGAACAACAGGTTTTTAAGTGTTCAAAAGAGTTCCTGCTGATAGTCATGGATTGTATCCTGGACTCTCTCAAGTGTTTACTCATTGATCTTTGTTACTGTTTGATGACTGCAATTAATCTCTGGAGAATTTATGTTGAAAACCTTCCAAAACTTCAGTTAATATGCTTCATCCTAATGAAAATGGTTTTGAAATAAAGATTTTAAACTCAGACCAATGAGATAGGTTATAGGATTTTCTTTCTTTAGAGAGTCAATTTACTTGGTCTGGGTTAGAAACTAGCTTCCTAAATACAGAAGGATAAAGATAGTGATGCCTGATTTAATTCTACCAGCATAGGTGAACTGTACTATTGTAGCAAAGAAGAAAATCAAGAGAATGTAGGAATATTTACGGTGCTTCAACAAATTTGATTTCAGAGACCTTGCATCTTATTTCCAGGAAAAAACAGAGAATAGTGATTTGACTGAAGTGATTAAATCTATTTTAAATTCTCAGATCATGCAACATATTATGCTGTTTTCATTTTCTAGTGGTGGCTGGGTCCCCAACCTCTGATGTTTTAGAGTCCTCTTTGGTTATCAGGGACAGTGACCTAACATGCTGTTTCTGCCTGTTGACTTTGGCAGGCCTGGTTTAAAGCTAACATATCTTTACAACCTATTGACTAATAGTCTATTTTGGTACTCTTCTTTTGTTGTAGGTTGGGGGAGGTGACATTGAAGGATTTTAAGGCAGCTATTGATCGAGAAGGGAATCACCGGTATCATTTCAAAGCGCTGGATCCTGAATTTGGCACTGTTAAAGAGGAGGTATCCAATCTATGGGGAGTCTGCGTAGTATTAGTGGTCATTCCTGAACCCCAGCGCCTCCTGTTCAAGGACTAGTTCCCAGAAGTAACTGAGTTCTCTAGCCAGAGTCACAGACCATAATCTAATTACTTTAGACTAAGAGGGTCACAGAATGGCCCAAGATGTTGATAGCTTCTTTAATTCTAGGACTTACTCATTTTGACTAAGACTTTGAATAGGATTTTTATTTTTAAAAGGACAATTTTATTTTGTTAGGGGAAAAAACATAAAATAAAGAGTCTTTTCTGTTTGTAGCTAATTCTTAGAAAACTTCCTACATAGACCAAAATAAACAGGCACGAACATATAGAATTGTAAATTATATAGTGGTAGTTTCTTATCATAAGGATAAGGAACTTCTGGATATTGTGCTTATTCCAACTCCTTGGGTAGTTTCTTAGTCTATGCTTCTCTTTATAATCCACTTGCCAAATATAATCTTTTTTGGAAAAGAGAGTTCTGATGTATTATTTCAAGTGCTTTCATTGTAGTTACAAAATGAAAAAAAGGTGGGAATTTTTTTTTAATAACCCTGTTTTATTAGTGGCTTAGGAAATGAATGGAATGAATGAATGAAAAGAACTGCCTCTGAGAGACTGGTCTTCTTTCCAGCCCTTGCTTCGCAATGCCTGGCACCAAAATTTTTCCCTTTGTTCTTAAAATGCATATGCTACTGCTTTCTCCTAAGGAGCCCAAAGTACTCTGTGATTTGAAGTTTATTAATTCTTACAGATTTCTATGAGCGAAGCAGTGTCAGGATTTTTTTTATCATTTCATACCTATAGAACTAAGAAAAAACCAAATCATAAAATATCAGTTACACTGCAAGTTTAGGAAGAGAACCCAAAGGAACATAAACTCAAGGATTTCTTTTGCACTTCCTTATCCTTAATGTTTGAGGACTTAATTTTTTTTATCAGCAGAAATTATTTAGGAAAACTCCCTACCTTACTCTGTATTTTTTTCTTTTTCTTTTATTTCTTCTCCCTCCTTCCCTCTCCTCTCCTGCCCTCCCCTCCCTCTCTCCCTCTCTTCCTTCCTTTTTTCCCCCTTGCTATGCAGCCCAGGTAGGGCTTGGAACCCATAGTCCTCCTGCCACAGCCTCCTGGATGCTGGGATTATAGACGTGTGCCAACATGCCTGGCTGTATTTTTTCACTGGGCTTTTTTTGTTCACTTAGGTTTTCCATGATGATGATGCCATTCCTGGATGGGAAGGAAAAATTGTAGCCTGGGTAGAAGAAGACCATGGAGAGAATTAATGTTGAGTATTAGAACATGGACATTCTCTGGCTGCTTCACTCAGGAAAGAGGATTGAAACCAGAGTACACTAAGAAGTTTCTAAATCATGCTGCCAAAACAGAAGCTTCTCCAAGTGTGATGGTCACAGGCCAGCCCTGTGTCTGTGCCTGGCATATCTGGTACTTAAGATCCGTGTCCAAGTGCAGACCGTGGGTTCACCTGGAGTTCCTTGTCCATGAGAACAGTGTTTTGTTCTACTCTGAGGATAACAAACCGAAGGCCTTAACCAATGGGGATGGATGATCCCACTCCTGTGGGAGTATGGCTGCTATTATCTGGAACCTGGGAACTGGATGCATCACTCTTGTGTGTTACAGTATTAAGTGGCCTCAATGGTTGCAGCAATCAGAGTCCCAGCATTTTTGCTCACAGACAAGGCAAAGGTACCAGCTTTTCTGCTTTTCAGATATTGCAAACCAGAACTAATTCATGAGATGGTACCAAAGATGAAAGCCTACTCATCACTGATCTATTGAACTGGACATGAACGGTGCTGAATTGCTGATTGGATGGAAAAGTACTGCCATATTGCGCCGAACTATGCTAAAACCTGAAGACCTTGGGCTGCCTCTCCTGGTCTTAACTGGTTCTGCAGCTTGTCCTTCAGCCACATAGGGCATATTTCAAGTACTGCTGGCTTTCTCTGGGGACTCTGTAGCTTTAGAGCCATTTATTTTTCTTCAAACTGACGAACTTCATGTTTGAAAGGAATAAGGAGTGAAAAGCTCCTTAAGAATCCAGGCAGGTATGGAAAGGTGCTGCTACTCCTATCTTCTTGACTTTGTCTCATAACTTCCTTTAACTCATGGTATCTCCTTTGCTGTAAAAAGGAGACAGACCATTAATTTCAGTGTTTCTTTGTGATTTATGAGTACTAAGCATGACTTACTGGTCTGCTCTCATTTCAAGGCTGGAGTTATTTTCTATTATATATTTAATGTAGGGTGATTCTTTAGGGCACATTAGAACCCATGGGGCATGGAGCATGAATTGTGAATGGCAGGGTTGATTCAGGCTGAAAAAACCTAGAATCATATCTCATGTGCAACATTTTCAAGTGTAGAAGCTAAATTGTGTTCAACTTCCAGAGATTACTTAATAACTTGGATTTTCTCATTCACCCACCCAGCATCAGTCAGCCATTATATATATGATATATATATCATATATATTCAGTCTGTAACCACCAGTGTACACTGCCAAACAGAAGAGTAGGGCAGATCAGTTCTGGGTTCTTGACCTGTCTCTAGTTCATCTCCCCCTTTCAGCCATTTGAACAGATTACTCCTTGGAAACAGATTTCTCAGATTACTCTGAGAAAACATCTTGTTGTTTTATATAGCTGTGTCTTTTTTAAATAGTTCATGTTTGGAGAATTCTTTTGTACTCATTTCTTTTTGTCTGAGAACCATGTCTATTTTTATAACTCAAGTGTGAATTCTATATACTCTCACATTCTGTATACTGTGCCCATTTTCTAGAGAATCCAGCAGCTTTTATACAGTCTCTTCCTACCACCTCTTGTAGTTTCAGAACAAGCTTTATTTTATTATGAGTAAACGGATGACAACTAATTCCTCTCCAATTCTATGTATTTAGTTGTGGAGTTAGTTTTATGTAATCCAGTTGACTGCTTTTCTAACAGACAGGAGTTCAAGACACCCGATGTCTTTCATGTAAGTTTACCTGGTCTTCTATTGAAGAATGATTTTTTTTTCAGCAGAAATAACTGGGAAAGTTTGGGAAAGTCAGCCATAAGCAAGAATAATGTGGTAGGAAAGAAAACAGTACGTTTTCAGGGCTTCCCCCCACCCCCCACAAGAAGTGTGGAGAAAAAAGTTCTTATGTTGCCAATTTCTCTGTTGCATGAATTTTAGTGTTTTTCTGTATAACAGCATGAGGGCTGCAGGCCAAAATTTGTCATTGTATTTCCAGTACAATTTATCTTGAGTGTTTGTCACTAAATCAGTTTTTACTTGTCAAGTTTTCTTTCAGCAAAGTTTTACCACTATGTGGAATTTAACTTTTCAAAGAAAATTAAATCAAAGAATCAAAGTCCTCTACCTTGTGTTTTATCTCATCCCTTTTGGAAAAGGGGTCGGCATGGCCTTAGTGCTTCCATAAAAAGCAGAAGTTGAATTCAGGGGAGAATATGAGATAAAATTTCCCACTCTAGTGCATTAATCTCACGCACCATGGGTAACTCATATATAAATTGTGTTGTGATCTTCATTCCAGAAGTGAGGGGAGCCTTCTGAGCAGCAGTAAACACTGATTCATTGTTTGGAATAGACTGGCTGCACTCTAGGGAGCCTTGTGACTCATTAATCGTATTGTCCCTTAGTGCCAGTGATATGGGATAGTCCATCCTGCTACTGCTAAAGTTCTCAATCCTTGAGAACTGGAATGTTTAGAGTTCATAAAATTATCACTAAGCCGCAATAGGTTAAAAACAAATGACCTCAGAAAAACTAGTTTAGTTGAGAGCTTAATTCCTTAAAAAAGTAATTTAAAAATTGAAAACCCTTCTTGTTCAATTCCCTAAATTAGCTGGGATTGAAACATTATAATCTGTACTTGAAGAATATGGGTTAGCTGGGTGTGGTGGTACATGTATGTAATCCCAGTACTTGGGAGGCTGGGGCAAGAGGAGCTCAAGTTCAAGACCAGCCTGAGTACACAGTGAGACCGTCTCAAAAGAAACACACGTGGTAATGGAAATCCTACTTACTGACCAACTTTTCAGTTTGCTTTTGACTGGGATGATTGTAAATTAGGAAAAATTTATGTTCTCTATCCAATCCAAATGGATTCTAATTATTTAAGAGCATTTAGGTCATAATTATTTTCATTTTTCCATAAAATAAGCTGTATGATTGCACATTCCTATTATCTGAATTTATGTAAGAAGTATAGCTTGCTTGAAATACATATATGTATCTAAATTATATTTTCTTAGAAACATGGATGTTTGCAACTGTTGTTTTCAGAGAATGTTACCATGTATTCTTTCTCCCTGTCTTACAAGGTTTTCATGACAACTATGGTATACCAGAGGCTTCTGATTATCAAAGTGATAACCAGTTTTAATTGCCTGTATGTACCAGATTTGTGAACGAATTAAACACACACACATAAACTATGAATAAAATGGAGCTTGCAAACTAAATTCCATTAATCATTTTTCATTTGTGTTTACTGACTGAGGTTAATCAGTAAAGCCATTTACCTTTAGTGCAGGTAAATTTCCTCAAGTGATCTCCCTGGCAGCATGTTTACTCATGGAGGAAACATGGAAAGTGGAAATAAGTGGAAAGTGGAGATAAAGATTGCGTTACTGCCACAGATATTTTATTATTGGTATTTCTAATGCAAACACAAAATAAGTTATTATCAAAGAAGCTAATTTTACACTCCTTTTGAAATTATGAATGTACAAAACAAATACGAATGTGAGAGTATAAACTATATGACAGAAGTCTTAATTTGCAAATACTAATGAGACTCAGAAAAAAAATTTTTCTGGTGTTTGGGATTGAACCCTGGATCTTGCTCATGATAAGCTGGCTTTGTACCACTGAGCTACAGCCTCAGCCAGAAATGTGTGTTTTTGTTTTTAGATGATGTCTGTGTTTTCCTGACTGATCTCAAACTGGTGGGCTGAAATGATCCTGCCTCAGCTGGAACTACAGGCTAGAAATGTGTATTTTTAAAAACCACAATTTCCAAATCAGTTTGAAAGCTACCTTTCCAAAACTCAAGGAGGCTTCATTTATCACTTCAATTTAAATATCTGATATATCTAAATCGTTAGCGTTTAGTGCTTTCGTCTTCCAGTTACTTATTTTCAACTATTAATTGGCTATCCCACCATTATGTACAAAACTCAGTCTTTCACTACCAACTAATTTCTCTTTTCATCTACCCACTGTGAATCACTGTTATCCCATTCTACTTTAAACCTGTGTTGCTTTTCCTTAATTTCTTTTATCCAATCTCTTTAGGGAACTTTAGGCTTATATTCTCAGGACTGATTTGACCTAAGGACACCTACCCCACCTGTAGGGTCAACTTGCTACCTCTGGACTATTTGAGTTGTGCTTTCTTATAATTTAGCTATCCCTAGGTCAAAAGTATATTCAAAAGGCCAACTCAATATTCTTTGAAAAATGCAGAACAAAGTTTAAGCCAGCCTACCCAAGTGAACCACAGATCACCTCACGCTTTATAACAAAACACTAATTTAGATCCACCTGTTAGATTCAAATGCAGTGGAAGTAGCAAGCCAATTGAAAATAGTTAAAACATGTTTATACAAATGTTTATAAAGTTACAGTATCAGCCCTTTCACTAATAACAAGTATTCCATTGCTGCTTCTAATTGTAAGTAAAGTTTTATATAATTAATACCCTTCATTTTATTTCAAATGCTTTTTCATTTAATCTGGAAAATTTATGTTTCTGAATTACATTGTCAATATATTATTCTGTTAGCAGTCTTGTCTGTTTATTTTCAATTTCAGTAGGTATGAAGTATTCTCTCTCTGCTGTCTTAATTTTCCAAGCTAATTATTAGCAAGACTGAATGTTCAAATATTGGCTTTTTTTTTTTTTTCAGACAGCTGAACTCATTATCCAGTGCTAGGATTACAGTCATACACCACCATGCCTGGCTGTTGGTTTAATTTTGTTCCCTCCAGTTTCTTTGTGTTCTTGATGTTTTCTGGCCATCTGTACACTAGGTACTTGGTGATATAAATACAGTATCTACTGCCTCCTAATCTAAATGTCATCTTCAGCTTAGAAATGATATTATATGGTAGCCATATTCAAGTGATCCTAACAAAGTGTGTATGTAAGTTTTCATTAATTAATTCAAATAACATGCACTCAATCACCCACTATTTACTAGCTACTATACTAAACTCTGGAGATGTCAGAAAAACAACAGACATGATTTCTGCTCTCACTGGTTTACAATTTAGTTTTGTAAGCCGCCAACGTTTTGTAAATCACCTACCCCATAGGCAAGTGTAGTCCCATAGAATTACGTGGCCCAGAAATTATATACATATATATAGCCCGGTGACATCGTTGCCATCTGCCTTGTATAAATGGCAGTGTATGATGTTCACAGCACAAAACAGCTGTATCTCAAACAAAACAAAGCTTGTGACTATTTAGAAGGATTCTACGGTCATTAGGAGTAACTCAAATCCGTCTCGCACACCTGCCTTCGTACAGGCACTACACTCAAATCCCGCAACAGGACATCTAAATACGGGGATGTACCTTTCACACCGTTTGGCTGGAAAGCCTGTTACCCCGTTTCCGGTGTGGCTACACAGCTGGAGTGAAATCTCTGTAACCCAGCCCGGCCTCGCAGGGCGGGTCCCTAGCGGGTCGCGTTTGGATCTGCAGGGGCCAAGGGGACATCACCTGACCTTTGGGTGCCCCGCGGGTCGTTCCGTGCTCCTTTTTATTTCTGGGGTGCACTCCAAGACCTCGCCCCCTGACCTAAGGCTTGGGATTATTGCCCCATCAAGCTTTGTGCTCACCTCCCCGCTCTTCCTTAAAACAAAACCGCTTCTCCCCGCCCAGCCTCCGTAGGCCCCGCTCTCTCCGCCTTTTTTAAGGCTGTCACCTCTCGGCCACAGTCTTCACCTTCGGAGCCCCGTCCTACCCTTAGGGATACCTCGCCTAGGACCCCACCACCTTCCCGCTCTCTCTTTGCGCCTGCGTGGGTTCCGCAGGAATGTCCCCGTGCCCAAGGCTCCGAAGAAGCCGCCCCGATCCGCTTCGGGTGTCCTCCCCCGACTCGCCGTGGGCCGGGCAGGAGCGGGGGTGCCGCGCGCAGCCGGCGCCGGGGGCGTGGCGTGAGTGCTCGGAGCGGGTTTTACGACAACGTGCGGCTGCGCGGAGTGGCTGACGGCAAAGCCGTGCTGCTCCGGGAGAGGTCACTGCGGAGACTGTAGGTTTTTGGGGAGTGGGGTCTGTGGCACTATGTGGCGCCTGTGTGCGCGACGGGCCCAGAATGTAGCCCCGAGGGCAGGCCTCGGGGGTCGATGGACGGCCTTACGGGAGGCACCCGGAGCCCCGCGCGCGAGCCCGCGGTCTGGCGCCCCTCCGGTTCGTTGCCTCAGCGCGACCACTGGGCATGGCGGGGTCGGGTCACTATGCCGGTGGAGCTCCAGATCTGGCGCCCCACCGCGGAACCATTTCCTGTTGCGGCTGTTGGGATCGTCCAGCCGTCGCTGTTATAGTCTCCCCCCTCATCAGAAGGTGAGTCCCCGACCCGGGACCCCGTTGTCCTTCAGGGCAGGTTTCTTGGCCTTGGTCTTGGGATTCTCCTTCGGAGGCCTCAGTGATCCTCTAACTCCTCCCAGTGTCTCGTCGCCCCTTGACCAAGACGGCTCCCATGCTTCCCACTCATGATTTCTTCTATTGAAAGAAGAGCTCCACGCCTGGGGCGCTAGGCAAAAAGGTCTGCCCAGGTTCCTGCTTTGTCAGATTCACAAACCACTGCATGTTGTGAACTCAGCCGGGCAGGAACTCTCTGTGCATCCCCAGTGCCTAATTTGTAATGGCACTCAGACTTGTAAAAAACTATTATCGTGTTTTAATTGTACAAAGAGGTTTCATCAGTATAGCACTGGCTTGAATGAAACATTAAACCAGACTGAGGAATCAAAATTAATACTTCTTTTTCTCTTTCCAGGTTCCATTGCCTTCTCTTTCCCCCACAATGCAGGCAGGCACCATAGCGCGGTGGGAAAAAAAAGAAGGGGAAAAAATCAATGAGGGTGATCTAATTGCAGAGGTATGTTGTAAAATATGCAGATGATTTTAAGGGACTGGCTTTGTTAAACAGATTGAATTTTAGCTTTCTGCTTAAGAAACAGATTTGTTCCTTTTATAGCTTGATAGCAGAGATGACAGGTTAGCTAAGTTGTCAACAGCTGGCCAATCTCCTTTCCCCCCAAGATGTTTCTGAATAATTTCTTCTTTCAAATCTGTGATAATGGCTTTATCTTCACACAACTGTTACTGTGTAATTCTAGATACATGCTAATACACTGCATATTGGTAGTACAAACCTAAATTACTGCTTTGTGTTAAAAGGTTGAAACAGACAAAGCCACTGTTGGATTTGAGAGCCTGGAGGAATGTTATATGGCAAAGATACTTGTTGCCGAAGGTACCAGAGATGTTCCAGTTGGAGCCATCATCTGTGTCACAGTTGGAAAGTGAGTAGAAAGCCCTGTAATTTGTGGAAGTTCAGTGCTTATTAGATTATCATAATTCAGAATTGAGAAATTAGAAGTCAGAGACTTTTGAAGACTAATGTGGGAACTGTTTGCTTTGTAATCCCCTTTTTATGCATTCTTTCTCTTCTTTAGGCCGGAGGATATTGAGGCCTTTAAAAATTATACATTGGATTCCTCAGCAGCACCTACCCCACAAGCAGCCCCAGCACCGACTCCAGCTGCTGCTGCTTCACCTCCACCTTCTGCTCAGGCTCCTGGTAGCTCATATCCTACTCACATGCAGGTGAGGCTCAGCTTCTGAGGATTTGCTCTTGATAATTTATTACTTATCCATTTTTCATATCACTTTCTGGAAACTGGTGTTAAATGTAGTTTGCTCTCATCATTTGGGAGTATATAGAGATTTAACCATAAAATTGACAACCTGTATTCCTAATTGTTATTTCCAAATATGTATACCTTTGTACACAGGATAATGCTTAGAAGAACATAATGTACAGATTTTCAGGATTATTTTTGCTAAATCTTACTCCCTGTATAGAAAGAGTTTGTAGTAGGTGCCAGGTGCCATCTTTTGAATATAAGTCCCCAACTGGTGTTTTCCTTTTATCTTTGGCAGTACTAGGAATTGAACCCAGGCCCTTACACATTAAGCAAGTGCTCTACCACTTGATCTATGCCCCTAGTTTCTCCCCCGCTTTTTAAATTTTGTTTTTGAGATAGGATCTCACTACCTTTTGTCCTGGCTGACCTCGAACTCTCTATTCTCCTGACTCCACCTCCTGAGTAGCCAGGCATGGGCTACCATGCCCAGCTGGTGTTTTTCTTTGGCATATGGTAGTCTGTTTTTCAAGAGTACATGAGGTGTTCCAGTAAAATTTACAAATGAGGAAACTGACAATAAAGAATAAATGTGAGCCAGGGATGGTGGCACACGCCTGAATCCCAGCACTCAGGAGACTGCAGCAGGATTATGAGTTCAAGGGCAGCTTGACTACATAGTAAGACTCTGTCTCAAAAAACCAACAAAACAGTTGTTTTTAAAATGTGAAATGGACATAATAGATAGCATTCTAATAAAGTCAGAGGTCATGAGTATAGTCATTGTTGCTTCTATTAACTATTAACTAACTCAGTTTCTAGGAAACTGAATCTGTTTATTAGATATTAGAGTTGGTGTGTGTGTGTGTTTGTGTGTGTGTTTGTGTTTGAGTTAGAAGTGAATTAAAAAACCTAGCTGTCCTTTTTCTAAAGGAATAAACCTGAACTTTCCTGAACTTACTTACTTTATTTGTAGAATATTTTGTGTAGGAATCTAAACCTAAACTTTCCTTAACTTACTTACTTTATTTGTAGAGTATTTTGTGTAGGAATCATTTTCTTGTTTGGAAATAATGTTCCACTCCATGGTCTATTGGTAGCAATTACTTATTATAAAATTTTTCCTGGTCTTTAGTTCTCATGATTATTTTATCCTGTCCAGAAAATTCTGTTGCATTATTTAAGATCTCATTTCTCTCCCATTTTATGTCTGTGACTTTGTATGCAAGTGTTAGGATTGTGCCTTAATTGTCCTTTAAGCTACTGTATAGAGATTACTCACTAATTTTTAAGAAGCAGATGGGACTGGAGGTGTGGCTCAAGTGGTAGAGTGCCTGCTTTGCAAGTTGGAAGCTCTTAAGTTCAAACCCTCGCCCCACCACACACACCACACACACAAAAGCAGCAGCAACACAAAAGCAGCAGCAACAGATGAAGTTGGCAAACTCTGTTGAACATGAAAAGCATTTTTTCAAGCATTTTGTAAGTTTTGTTTTACTACCCATCCCCATTTCTGGAGATATTTTTGGTTGAAATTATTTTTCCCTCAGTATACATCTATTGTTAATTAGATACAGGAGACTAAGAAGAGAGCAAATGAAGTCCATAAAACTGAATAACCATCCAAATTCAGTGGACACACAGCTGTGTAAGTAGGAAATCAATTTTTAATTTAGATCAGCCAATCGATGTTTTGATTTATTGAACTGAAAGTGACTATTATAAGATAGTTTTTGAGCAGGTACCAGTGCCTCCTGCCTGTAATCCTAGCTACTCAGGAGGCAGAGATCAGGAGGATCACAGTTCAAGGCCAGCCTAGACAAATTGTTCTTTTTTTTTTTTTTAATGTGGAATGCTTCATGAATTTGCATGTCATCCTTGTGCAGGGGCCATGATGATCTTCTCTGTGTCGTTCCAATTTTAGTAGATGTGCTGCCGAAGTGAGCACAGATAAATTGTTCTTCAGACCCTATTTCAAAAATACTTTACACAAAAGGGCTGATAGAGTGGTTTAAGTGGAAAAGCACCTGCCTAGCATACATGAGGCTGAGTTCAAGCCCCAGCATCCCCGCCCCCCCCCCCAGAAAAAAAGTTTTTTGAGGGCTTGGGGTGTGGCTCAATGGTTAAACGCTGTTTAACATGCATGAAACCCTGGTTTTAATCCCTAACACCAAAAACATGAACAGTTAAAAAAAAAAATTTTTTTTTTGTGGTACCGGAGGTTGAACTTGGTCTTGCACTTGCTAGGTAGGCAATCTACCACTTGAACCAACCGCCAGACTTCTGTTTTTAAATTTTTTTATTTTTAAAAATGTATTTAAATTGAGGACTGGGAGTGTGGCTCAACTGGTCAAGAACCTGCCTAGCATGCACAAGGCTCTGAGTTTAAACCCCAGTACCTCCAAAAAACAAACAAAAAAGTTAATTTAAATTGACAAAATTCTAAGTTGATAAATTTGTAATTAAGATGTGTTTTGAAATATGTGTATTTAGTTGAATGGCTTAATGGAATTAATTAACACATATTTTCTTCACTTTTTTGTAGTGGGGACACCTAAAATCTATTCCTTTAGTAATTTTTAAGAATATAATACTATAGTCACCGAAGAATAGATTTTTTTGTTGTTTTTTTTCATCTCTAGTGCTGGACATTGAGCCTAGGGCCACATGCGTGCTGGGCAAGTCCTCTACCACTGACTGACATTCCCAGCCCCAAGAATACTTAAGATTAGTTTTATTAAATCTCTGGCTAGGGAGTTTGAAGCAAATGTGGTTTCCCATGGTTGAAAAGGTAAATAGATGTTAAGTGCACAGCACAACAAAATTTCAACAGAGCAGTCTGGGCCAAGATCATTCTGTGAAAACAAAAAATTCCATATTAACCTAAGTTTTAATGAAAAGGTGTTCTGTGATTAGATATTTAATGAGGAATTAATTTTGACTGTCTGAAAGAAAGCTTTCCTGTCTGCCTGTTTTTAGCTTTGGAGAGTGGGTCAAAGTATGATTGATCAACTATGAAACTTTAGACCTGTAGGATAATTTAACTGTTGGGAAACTGACACACTGGGCTTTTTCTGTGATAGGTATTTGGAGTGTCATAGTCACTATCACTCTGAAACTATATGTGCTTGTCTGAGTGTTTCTGTGTTTAGTGTTTCCTGTTATTAGGTGGTAATATGTATTTGTTTCTACAGGTGCTTCTTCCTGCCCTCTCTCCCACCATGACCATGGGCACAGTTCAGAGATGGGAAAAAAAAGTGGGTGAGAAGCTAAGTGAAGGAGACTTACTGGCAGAGATAGAAACTGACAAGGCCACTATAGGTGAGATTTCTTCAGCTGTTAATGGTGAGACTCTGAGTTTTCCAATGAGGAAGAGGATTGGCATCCTTTCCTACACTGAGTGAGTGATAATATGAAAATTTTACAATTGTTAGGATTCCTTTCCTGGGACAAGATATTTTATAACAAAGATGTGCAGAGTTAGATTTGTCAGTTCCACACTGCACTCACTGAATCAAGGGTATGTCAACTATGATGGCTTAAGAGATTATTCTTAGGTCAGAGTTTGCTTCTTTGTTTTTATTTTATTTTATCTTTTTGGCACTTCTGGGGTTTGAGTGAACTCAGGGCCTCGAGTTTGCTAGGCAGATCAGAGTTTGCTTTTTAGCTTTATTTTTATGTTATTAAAAAGCTATATCAGAACTGCCATTGTCTGAACTGGCAAAAAAGAAAAAAAGGAAAAAAACACCTACAAGCAGGAAAATACCAAAGAATAACAGATGACTTGGAGAACTGAAATCAGGGTTTTTAGATTGTTCTCGTTCTTTGAGAATGACATACATGTCAGTCTTTTCGATATATCTTATTTCCATGTACCCCCTATTTTAAATTTGTTTTTATGTTCAGAAATAAAACCCACACGCATAATCATGTATATTTGTGTTAATACTTGTAGACATTTCTAGGTATTAGAAATTTAAGGGCTCCGTGAAAAGGAGGTTTGTCCGTTCCATAGATAGAGCAGGAGATCCTCGGGATCCTCTGCAGTGGTGGTTTTCAGATTATGTTCTTCAACCCACTGCCATTCCTGAACACCCTGGGTCAAAGGGAAATTAAAGAGTAGGACCCTACCATGTCTGTCCTCCCTCCCCATTCCACCAGAGCAATTCCTTTTCAACTTTTTGTGTATTGTACTTCCTTATAGGGTTTTTTTGTTTTTGTTTATGATTTTTTGAGACATGATCTCACTGTGTAGCCCAGGCTGGCTTTAAACTTGGCAATTTTCCTGCCTCAGCCTCCTGAGTCCTGGGGTTACAGATGTATGCCACTACTCAGCTTTTGTTTTGCTGTTTTACTTTTGCAACTCTAATGTTTGGTTTCCTTGCATGAAAAGCAGTAACTAAATAAAATATATGTCATCAACACCATAGAAATCCCAGTAATGCTGAATTTCCTCACATTGAAATTTTAAAGTTCCAAGAATGCTTTTACAGCTGATATCCCACATCTCTGTCCAGCTTGGTCACTCCCTTAATTTGGCTTCCATGTAATACTGATTTTTAATAATAAAACTGATCCCATCCTAGAGTCCTGTGAGTTTTCATGAGGACTTCCCATAGAGATGTTTTTAATAACTGTTAGAACTCACCATGGTCTGTAGTCTCACAGACTGATTTAGCAGATACAGTTATCCTTTAGTATCCAGGGATTGGGCCCAGAAAAAAAAGCCTGTACATGTTCAACACACATATAATTTTTCCCCAAAAATGTCTTCGGTCCCCTGGATTTGGAGGGCCAACTGTATTTATTGTGGTACAAGGTACTGTTTCTAAGTACTTGAAAAATACTAGTTTATTTAAATTCATAACATCCCTGTGAGGTAAGAATAGTCATCACTTTGTATTTGTGGGTAGGGTGGGGAATTGGTTCCAGAACTCACTCCTCACTAGTAGCTGAAGTGGTAGGCCCTGAGTTCAAACCCCAGTGCTACCTAAAAAACAAAGTAGAAAAGAATACAGGACTCACTCCTCCACCAAAATCTTCAGATACTCGAATTCCTTATATAAATTGGCATAGTTGTGTTGTTTTTGGTTTTTCTTTTGGTGTTCTGGGAATTGAATGCAGGGCCTTGTGCATCGAAGCAAGATCTCTGCCACTGGTCCTTACTCCTCCCCTCCAATATACTTTAAAGCATTTCCAGGTTATTTATAATACCTAGTACAACAGTAAGTGCTATGCAAATAATTGCTACACTGTAATGTTTAAGGAATAATAGCAAAAGAAAAGTCCATACAAGGTTAATACAGGTGCACACATAGTAGACCAAACTACATAGTACATGTGATCAGCAACGTAACATTTTTTATGACCTAAGTGTATGTTTATTACTACATACTTTTAGGTCATCATTTACATATTCAGTTACATTATGATATTCCATTACTGAACCAATTCAGAAAGAACAACAACCTCTTACCAAAAATATATATGAGTAGAAATACTAAGGGTAATTAGTGTACCATAAGTCCTCAAATATAATGCATCAAGCTTTCTAATACATGGATATACAAAATTAAATTGAGTAAACATGTCCTCTACTGACTCCAGTGGTATGCAAACATACCCTAAAAGCTTTTATTTTAAAAGAAACAAAGCTCTTCAATTTCACCAATGTAACATTTTGGTTTCACAGTGGTTGAATCCAGGGTAGTGGAACCTGTGGACACAGAAGGCTGATTTACTATAATTATCTTCATTTTATAAAGAAACTGAGACATATAGGTTAAATAGCTGTAAAAAGTCTATAGCTAGTGTGAGTAAAGTCTTTGACCTAAAACTCTGCTGTGGGTTTATAGGGGTAGTGGAATCTTTTAAGTACCATAATGTTTTTCTTTCTATTTAAGGTTTTGAAGTACAAGAAGAAGGTTATCTGGCAAAAATCCTCGTCCCTGAAGGCACAAGAGATGTCCCTCTAGGAACCCCACTTTGTATCATTGTAGAAAAAGAGGCAGATATAGGAGCATTCGCTGATTATAGACCAACTGGAATAACTGATTTAAAACCACAAGCACCACCACCTACCCCACCCCTGGTAGGTGTGCTTCTAGAATCAAGGGAATTTTTTTCTGTTCACCTCTAAATGGCATTTTATTAGATAATATCTTAGGTTATCTTCAGCTCCAAGATCCTGTGAGTAACAAAGGAGACAGAGGTAGTTCGTTAACATCTGTGGAGGCTTATGAGATGTGTTACTCTGCACAGTCACCCCATGGTCAGTAGTTTGATCCTTATACATCTTTTTTCCTCCTGCTGTCTTGAGTCCTGCTAGAATAAAGCTGAGGTGACATGTTCTCTTTCTGCTTTAAGTATAAATATCATGGCTATGGAAGGTAAGGTTACATTCCCCATTTTCTGCTGACTTTACTATATAATCTCTGTCATTTTCAATCCTCCTTATACTTATATATTATCATAGGTCAAGCATATATTTGTAACACATTGGAACTTTGACGTAACATGACCTGTTTTGCACAGAATTTAGTATATCACCATATACTTTGTCCAGTACTCTGTATTATCCATCATGTGAATTTGTGTGAACTCCAAGCATAGACAACACTTAGAGTAAAGCCTCCATAGATGCTAGATCATGTGAGTTTGGACTAGGTGCACATTTCTCAGAGAAAACTTGATTTCTCACTGCTGTACAGTCATGAGAGAGCGTGCAGTGTTGGTTTGTTCCTTAAGACACTTTTCAACATGGAACCTTGTAGTGTAATTGTAATTTTGTATTTTGAAATTAGATTAAGTAAAAATAAAAACCATGTTGATGTACTTAATGAGAATAAAGAAACTGCAAGAGATTAAAGTGAAGAGAGGTTATAAGGATATTATTCACTAGTCAGCCGTATTAAATTCCACACCTCTCCTTGTTGTCATGGAGTAAGATTACTTGATTTGTTCTGTCTTTGACAAAAATTATTTTTGTCTTTTTTTTTTTTTTTTTGATGGTACTGAGGATTGAACTCAGGGCCTCGCACTTGGCTAGGCAAATACTCTACCACTTGAACCACACCCTCAGCTCCCAAATTACTGTTCTTGCTATTATATTGCTATGTTTGTTAAGCAGGAAAAACATGCATATGATCTTCGGAAGAAAGATAAATGTTATTTAATTAAAGCATCTTTTAACTTCTTAAAAGTGAACTATTAATCTTTGTAGTGGTTAATTAATAATTTGTAACTTTTTCAAAAGGTGGCCACTGTTGCAACTCCCCAGCCTTCAGCCCCTACATCCTCAGCCACTTTTGCTGGACCAGCTACCCCTGCTGGATCAAAGGGAAGGGTATTTGTAAGCCCTCTTGCAAAGAAATTGGCAGCAGAGAAAGGAATTGACCTTACACAAGTAAAAGGTAAGTCTCTTCCTGTGGAATGGTGTTGTAAAGTGAAGTTAGGTAAATTTCCTTACGATTATCACATGTACCTATGCATAGTTACATTAACTAGGATAGTAGGGAGGAGGGTGAGGAGGAAATACCTGTTATTCCTCACAGTATAGAAACTGTTCTTGTATTTTATTGAGTCTACGTAGATCTACCTGTAGAATTTAGAATTTAGAATTTTTTTTCATTTTCCTCTATTCATGGGAGCTACATAATTATTGGTGACAATATATGTGCTAGTTGAGCAAAGTTGAGTTGTAAGCTTTGGTTGTGTAATAAGAAACCTTTTAGTGCTAAGTTGACTGAATGTAGTAATAAGCAAAGCAAAACATGAAGTTGGGGTGATTTGAAATGGCTTAAAATAATAAAATTCAAGCCAGGTGTAGTGGTGTATGTCTGTAATCCTAGTACTTGGGAGACTAAGGCAGGAAGTTTTCAAATTTAAGGCCTGCCTGGTCTACATAGTTAGCGAATTTCAGACCAGCCTGGACTATCACAAGATCTTGTTTCAAAAACCTAATAAATAAATTAATTAAAAAATAAAATCAGTATAAAACTGAGCTAAAACTCCCCAAAGGCAAGGAAAATATCCTTATTCATCTTTTTCTCCCCAGAGGAAAAAATGTAGCTTAGTGGTAAGACCATGGGATTGGCATGTTGGCTTGATTGTATTCTTTATGTAATATATCTTTAAGTGAATTACTTCTTAGCTTATGTATATCTTTAGATGAATTACCTAATCTATTTTTCCATCTCGGAAATTAATAGTGTACACATATAGAATTCTGAGAATTAAATGAGCTCTAAAGGTGAAGTTCTTAAACAGTGTCTAGCATGTAGTAAGTGCTCAATATATGTTGCCATTCCTGTTGCTTGGGACTTACTGCCTGGCTTTTAAATATTCTTGAAATAAACTTAAGCTAAAATTCAATGTAGGGTAATTAAAATACTTATTTGGAGAAGGAGGAAAATTACTATTTTGGGGACCTGGTTTGATGACTAGTTCTATGTGCTAGTCATTTAATTTGCATAACATTTGTTCAAGTGAGAATTATCATTATTGTTAGGATAAGAAGAGTGTCTTAAGGGATCTTCCTTCCTGTGAAATAAAAAAACTGCAGTTGAAGTCAAGATTTGTTTAAGCCAAAGCTGGTGGCTTACCCCTATAATCCTAGCTACTTGGGAGGCTGAGAATGGGAGGATCACCTTTTGAGGCCAGCCCAGGCATACAGTTTAGGAGACCCCCATCTCCAAATAACCAGAGAAAAATGGACTGGAGGAGGTGTGGCTCAAGCAGTAGAACACCTGCTTTGCAAGCATGAAGCCCTGAGCTCAAACCCCAGTTCTCCCTCCCCCCCACCAGCCAAAAAATATTTAATTCTAAAGCCTATTTTCTTCCCACTACCCTGTACTGCCTTCTGTCTTGATGTTCTACCATCCATAATTACTAAAGAAAAACATAGTTACTTCCTCATTTGTCCAGGTATGAGCACTCAGTGCTACAAGCTACTGCTTTTGTGGTTAGAAGTCAAGCTGATCCCAAAACACAAGAATAGGTTATAAATTCTTTTGGGCCCTCAAAAGATTCTTTTTTTTTTTTTTTTTTTTTTTTGGTATGGTGGGTGGGTATTGAACTCAGGGCCTCACACTTGCTAGGCAGGCACTCTACCTCTTGACCCATGCCGCCAGCCCTTTTTGCTTTGGTTATTTTTGAAATAGGGTCTTGCTATTTATGCCAGGCAAGTCTGGACTGCATTCTTCCTATTTATGCCTCCTGGTGTAGTTGGGTGCTCAGCTATTGATTGAAATGGGGTCTTGGAATTTTTTCCTGTGCTGGCCTTGAGTTTCGATCCTCCTGATCTCTACCTCCCAAGTAGTTTGTATTATAGGCTTAATCTGGGCAGGATTGTTATAATATTGGAAGGTCCTCCCCTTTTTTTCCCCCACCTTCTGTTATTTTACTAGCTTACTGCCATTCTTTATGTATGTCTATTTAGAATCAGGGACTGTAGTATAAGTTGGAATAAATTTTAGAGAGAGGAGGGGTTAGGTTAATTATATCTGAAGAATTTAGACAAGTAAAGAAGGACCATTTAATGAATAGTTAGCAACACTGACTATCTTACTAGACTATCTTACTAGACTAGGCAGGGATGATTCATTTATTATTATTGAAGCAAATATTTTTAAGTATTGTCTGTCCATGAAGTACTTGTTCATAAGACGGATAAGATTTCAGTTTCAGGTTGCTTAATGTGGTCGACAATAAAGAGTTAATTGAACGAAATGGGAGTATAGCATACTACTTGTAGATGGGATTATGGGAGGGTGTTTTGGCAAGAAATAGAGTGCTTAAGAGTATTAGGGGGAATAGTGTTGGCCTTTATAGGAATGAAGGCTATTGTCTATTTTAGAGATACTTGCTAGACAGGTGCTCTACCACTTGAGCCACTTTGCCAGCTATTTTATCTGTTTTAACGGAGAGATCAGAATATAGGATGGGTTTATTGGTTTGGTAGTAGAAGATGAGAATTCTTCTCTGTTTGCTATTTCATCAGTAAGGTGTGAAGCGAGGGTATGATCTGGAGAATGAGTCTGGGAAGGATTGAGGTTAGAGAGATTGTAAAGTAGTCTTCTTAGAGATTGGGAAGGTGAATTTAAAGAAAACAACTGAATTTCTGGGCGGTTTTGTTTGTCCATTTCAGTTTTTGTGATTCTGAACCTACAGTACAGTTAGACAGCCACTTCTGAACTTTTTTCCTGGCAACATTAAGCTACTCTGTGCTTAATGAGCAGACAAGCAGTGTTACAGTTCTTCATTGGAATCATGACAACGGTCCATAGAATGTAAGCTGGGTAAGGAAGAAAGTGAAGATGACGGAGGTCACAGATAATGAAAGAGGAGTCAGTGGAGTGGAGTCTTGATGAGGTTGAAGAGATTTTGCAGTGGGGGCTGGCAGTGGACTGGCCTAAGCTAATTGAGCTTAGTATTAGTGATTGCATGGTGTTTTCTGATACCAAATGTTTGGAGTTTTTTTCCCACATTTCTGTAAATTCTTTTGACACTGAGTAGCCAGCAATTTAATCTAATTCTAACATTAAGTACCCAGATTTAACATCAGACTCTGTAGGTATCCCATAAGATGGCCCTTACTTCAGATTTCGTTTCTAAGGGCTGGCGGCCCACCTGCATGTCTAACGCATTAGCTATAAATCAGAAGTTTCCAAGACCTCCTCAGATTTGATCATTTGCTAGAATAACTGATAGAACTTGGGACAGCACTTTACTTACTATTGTATTATAAAGTATACAACTCAGAAATAGCCAAATGGAAGAGATGCATAGGACAAGGTATAGTGAAGAGGGGTGCACAGAGCTTCTATGACCTCTTGGTACTCTATATTCCCATTGTATTGATGTGTTCACCAACCCAGAAGCTCTCTGACTTTCACTGTGCAAGACTTTATTTTGATAGAGATATTATCACAGACATGATTAGTTTAATCAGTGGCCATTAAACTTAATCTTTAGTCCTCCTTCCTTTTGTGGAAGTGGTGCAGAAGAGGAGGAAGGGTATGGGAGAGAGAGATATAAGAAAAGGGACTGAAAATTATCACCCTCTAATCAGGTGTTTGGTCTTTGAGCTGACCATCCACCATCCTGGATCCCCACACTGAGGTACCTCATTAGCATAAACTCGTGGCGTGTGTAATGTGTGAAGGGCTTGATATGAATAACACTTATCACTTGGGACATTCCAAATATTTTAGCAAGTGTATGCCAGGAACCTGGAACAAAGGCCAAGTATATTTTTTGTCATACCATACCACTGTGATAGTAGTCAGAGAGATAATTGCTTCAATTCTAGATTTCAGGGATGTTTAAATACTACTGATAACATGGTCTAGTATTTGACTTTAAAAGTTGGGGGGTTGCTCAAAGTTGTGTATGGGATGGAAAAGTTGGACCTGAGTAGGTGAAAGAACATAGAAGTCTGAGAATTAGGTAGATTGTGGTCCCAAAGAACATAGTGGGAATGCACAATTACTCTGAATAAATGGGAGAGATTATGAATTGGTAGATGAGAGATAGTGAGGAGAAGTAGGTTGTGTAGACAGATGGCATGAGCATCAAAGGGTTTTGAAGGTTTTGAGAGGAGGAGGGAGATTTGGAATTGGCTAAGAGTAAAGAGGACACTTATCCCACATCCCAACTCTGAGCAACTTGAAGTGAGAGGGAAAAAAAAAACTCTATAAGGGAAGAACTAAGGGAAAAGTTGAAGAAGGGGACAGGTGGCTTCGAAAATCACTCAGGGGGAAGCTATGTTAAGACCTGAACCCCGATGTTCAGAGTTTGGTTAATCTCAGAGCTACCCATATATTTTATAACTCTTTGGTGCAAAGCACTTTTCACATTACTATCCCATTTGTCTTCACAAAATTCCTATGAGCAGGGGTTGGTATTACAATCTCCATCCTACAAGTGGAATGAAGACCAGGTGAGCCTAAGTGTCTACAGTCATCTGCCTCGTTTATGTTTGACATTTTCCTGCTAGTCCAGTGTTCTTCCCTTTATACCATACTATTTTATAATTGCCTGTTGTGCCTTCTTAGATAGGCAAAGGGTTTGAAAGGTTTCAACTAACTCAGGAAATTCTCTGAGTGGTTGAAGCCTAGATTCAGCGGGACTGTGGGTGGTGGTGTCTAGCACGGCTTTTGTTGTAAGGAGAAATGATGGCTTCTGTCTTTCAAAAAGGAGAGGGACCTAATGGAGGTACTGCCATCCCTGTTCTAGAGTTTGTGGTGAGGATAAACACAGTCCTAACTAACTGTGTTTTCATAATGAAGAAAAGGACTTGGGAAGAACTGCACACTAGAGTCCTTTTAAAAGTCTGCCATGGGGAAGACGAATCAATTTGACCATTTTTTTTCTAGAAGTGGGCAAGTGTTAAAGGTATTATAATCAAATTCTGAATCTGCTTTGAATTAAAGGTCAGGATTATCTACTTGGTTCTAAAATTAAACCCAAGAAGTTATAGATGGTGGAGGAGAGGGTATGGGGAATTTAATAAAATTAAACCTGTTGGGAGAACTTTGAAGTTCTTTGTCATATATGGCATTGTACTGTTTTCTCCATTTTCTCTAACTCAGGCAAGTTTGGTTTTTGCTAGTGTGAGGAAGCTGTGAATGATGAAGACCGTATTGGCAATGAATGATGCTAAAATGGGATAATTGCAATTAATAGTTAGTTATTCATGCTATTGTGGGGTTAAGAAAAAGTTGACTTGTCTTATTTTTCTGGAAAATTGTTATCATGTCTGTCAACCCTGTACAAGGATATTCTTTATGGTCAAATAAGATTCTGTTTCAGAGTTCAGAAAGAGTTAGGGTTTTTTGTTATTGTTTTGTTTTGGTTTTTTGTTTGTTTGTTTTTTAGCTAACCAGGAGGGGACAGCTAGTTTTTGTTAGATGTATAAGCTATATTCTGCATTAGCCTTATGCCGGTATTTCCCAATTTAAAAGTAAGAAAATGAAAAGTACAATCTAATTAGACGGAACTCTAAAAGATAAATAAAAGAATATTTATAATAGTTAAAAAGAAAAGAACCACTGTTGATCAAGTGAAGGTTCTTTGAATTAAAATGATCATCTAATCCAAGCTGGTATTCTGAAGGAGAACCTTAAGGGCACAGTTAAGATTGTGATCCCTTCCAAGTGTTTTGTATCTTTTTGAATCTTTAGCAACTCATACATTAGGGTTACAGTGTGGACCACCTTGGGGTTCCAGTGTTATGCTGTCATGTATGTAACATCTGTGTGTTCCCTCAGGAACGGGACCAGATGGCAGAATCATCAAGAAGGATATTGACTCTTTTGTGCCTACTAAAGCTGCTCCTGTGAGTTCTATTTGTCTCTTACCATTTTTTTTTTTTTTTTGCAGTTTTTCTCTGCAAAGTACACTATCCTGCCTGTTAGAAATGGAATTAGGTTTTCTTCTAATTTCAGTGGCTTAATGATATTTTTGTGCTATTATTTATATACAAAATCAGAAATGATATACTACAGTGACATGTACTCCAAATTGGGTTTTGAGTAGTGATATTCAGTTTTCCCTAAAATATCCTCTTCTTTTCACTTAGTCCCTGTTTTTAAAAGGATTTTTGTATGTTGGTTGTCTAGGGTTTATGTGGTACTTATTCCGTACAGGTACTAAATCCATATATCCAATTTCTATTTGATTGGCTAAGGTGATAAGATAACCAGCCAGAAGTACAGAAAATTATTATTCATATGTTTGCTTTAAAATGGTAGATTTGTTTTTGTTTTTCCTTCTTCACATTGTCAGGATAATGGATTAGTTTGTTTATATTTATCTTTTAATCTTTTCAATTTAAGAATGCTTTGGTTGCTTCTCTTTTTCTTTGTTTCTTTTTGTTGTTGTTTTTGAGACAGTTTCACTATGCAGTGCTGGCTAACTTTAAACATGCCATCCTCCTGTCTCAACCTCCTAAATGCTGAGATGATAGGCATGTGTGCCTGGCTCCTTGATTTCTTTTCTTCAAAATAACTTTGCAAAAACAAACTTATTTTGTCATAAACTAGTAATTAAATGTACTCTGGCACAAAAAAGGATGACACTTGAAACATGATTTCAGAATTCTAAGTCAAGAAAAAAAAACAACAAAACTCAGATAAGCCTTCTAATCAAGCCAAGTCCTTTTTGTTCTCTGAGAATAGAACTAGCCATCCTGCAGAACTTTCATTTTCACTTTGGCATGTGTACAGTCACTGGCAAGTGTGTATACTAAGATTGAGCCACACTTACTTAGAGTGTTTTCTCCTCTCTATTCCATAGGCCCCAGCCGCTGCTGTGCCTCCCCCAAGTCCAGGAGTAGCACCAGTTCCTACAGGTGTCTTCACAGATATCCCAATCAGCAACATTCGCCGAGTAAGGACATTACCATAATCTGGAACCAGAGCTATTGAGGGTATTTTTACTCTGGTTCTTTAATTATATCCATAGTTTAAAATACTGACAAAGGTCTTTTCAGTTGGAAATATTAGATTATTAGGTTAAGGGAAGTTTGGATGGCCAATTGAATACTTGAGGTGAAGAAATCAGTTTGTTCTAGTTGAATCTATTAGAAGGTGCAAAGTTATGGTACAGTCCTTCATCTTTCACTCCTGATAATGTTTGAGGTAAGCATTATCTGGGAACCAAGTGAAAAGCAAACAGGACTGGATTGGGTCTCCTTTCAGCTCAAGATAATTGATTTTGAATCTCTTGTTTTAGGTTATTGCACAGAGGTTAATGCAGTCGAAGCAAACCATACCTCATTATTACCTTTCTATTGATGTAAATATGGGAGAAGTCTTGTTGGTACGGAAAGAACTTAATAAGGTAAAACTTGTAGGAATTCTAACTTTGTAAATTATAAAAATTCTGTCTAAACATTTACATTTTCAACCATGTACTTTGTTACAGTATGCCAGTTGGTGTGCAAAATGGATGTAATTTTAACTTCCAGGGAGCATCCTGGAAAATTTTTGTCTGTAACCCTTGATTAAAACAACATTTAAAGATGACTTAGTCATGGATAGATTTAGTCTAGAGAAGTCACTGTGATGCTACACTTGTCTCTCTTGTTGATAAGAAACATATTTGCTTGTGTTTTATAGTCAAACGCAACATATCTACTTAGTGCATAAGACATAGTCTTCACTAATGGGGGAGATAATGCATGTGAAAAACAGGGAAGGAAATTTTTTATAGAAGTAGAAATATCTATTTGTGGATCTGTCTATGGTAATGCCCCTTAATTGTCTGCTAAATTGCATCATATAGGTTAAGAGTTGCTGGAGTTTAGAGAAGGAGGTGGGGGGAGGGGACCAGTGAGAGTAGTTGGGGAATCCACAAACTCAGTTGAACTGTGGAAAATAGAAAGTGTTTGGATTGGCAGAGAAGTTGAAGAAAGTTCATTTTAATGATGGAGAGTATTAAGGGGAAAAAACTTCAAATACAGAAATGCTATGCATTTGCCATAGTATGTGTGGGAGATAGGTTACCCATTCTAGCGCAGATACACAGTAAATCAGTTTAAGGAAGACCCTGTTTTATAAGAAGATTTTGAACTTGATGAATTCTATACTAAGATGCCATTATGTTTTTGAGCGATGAAGTACATGATAGCAATATTTTAAGAAAGGTTAAGCTGATGAGATGTGTACACGTATGCATGAATAGCAGAAACTAGTTCTGCTTGTATTGCAATCCAAGCATGAAGTGATGGTAATAAGGAACTCTGTTAGGAATGGAGTGGGAAGCTGGGCATGGTAGTACAGCCTATAATCCTAGCATTTGGGAGGCTGAGGCTGGAGGATTCCAAGTTCAAGACCAGACTGGGCTACACAGTGAGACCCTGTCTTCCAAAAACAAAAAGAAAAAAGGAGTAGGAAAGTGGCTTATGAAAGCAGTTTTCAAGGAAGTGAAAACTAAAAGCCAAACTCCTTGGAGTGGGTACATGGCCTTTTAAAGGGTATCTGTAACCTCTCTGTCTCCTCTCCTACTGTTTTCTCACTTGCTGACTTCAATGCAGAGACAGTGGTTGTCTTACTGTTCCTCCTACCCAGGCCCTTTGCACTTTTCTTTCTTTGTGTGGAGCGTCTGGTCTCCACATGGTTTCCTCCTCTATCTCCTTAAGGATCTGACTCATTTCACCTTCTCTTGCCTTTTTTAGTCTAAAATTGCAACTTCTTCTCTCTCCACCCCATCCTTAATTCGCCTTCCTTGCTTTATTTTTCTTCTTAACATTATCCAGCATGTTATGTATTTCACTTATTTCTCTCCTTTAGAGCATAAAGGGAATACATGAGAGCAGAATTTTTTTGGCAGTACTGGGGCTTGAACTCCAGGCTTAATGATTGCAAAGCAGATGCTCTACTCTTTAAGCCACACTTTCAAGCCAAGAGCAGAAGTTTTACTCACTTTGTTTACTGCTTCATACCCAGGCCTTTAGCATTATGTGCTCGGACTGGAGTAGACTGTCATATCGGAGATTCATAACTGAATGCATGATGAAGCAGCAACAAAGCTTTGTAAATGGCTGCAGAGATTAAAGGTGATGCTGTATTTCTGTTGTGAAAATATTAAAGCTATTTTCTCTATTAGCTTTAAGTTGGAAATTAGACAAATATATTTCCAATGTGTTATATTTCTTTTGAGTAGCTTTATTGAGATACAATTCATACTTTATAATATACTATTCACACATTTAGAGTGTACAGTTCAGCCACGGTTGGTAGTACATGACTATCAGACTAGCCTGACCTACATAGTGAGAAAAAAAACTTTTTTTAAATAATAAATTATATATTTCAGTGATTTTTAGTATATTCACAGAGTTGTCTAACCATCACCACAATAAATTTTACATTTTTATCATCAAAAAGGAATTATTACTATTATTATTATTATTTTGATACTATTGGGGTTTAACTCATGTTCTTTTGTTTGCTAGGCAAGTGCTTTACCACTTGAGCTACTCCCCTTTTTGCTTTTGGTTATTTTTAAGATAGGGTCTCCCATTTTTGCCTGGGTCCAGCCTTGGACCATGATCTTCCTACCTACAACCTCCCACATTGCTGGAATCATAGACATGTGCCACCATGCAAGACTTACTGAGTAAGATGGGGGGGTCTTACTGACTTTTTGACTGGGCTTTGTAAATTCTAATTTACAAAGTTAGGCTTCCTAGAAGTTTTACCTTATTAAACTACAATCCTTTTTATCTCTGCCTCCTGAGTAGCTAGGTTTAGAGGTGTGAGCCACCATGTTCTGCTCTCTTTCACTTTCTCGATGGTAGCCTTTGAAGACAAAATTTTTAATATTATATCCAGTTTATCTATTTTTCTTTTTTACTTTTGTGCTTTTGGCATTATAGCTAAGAGACCACTGCCTAATATAAGTTTATGAAGATTTACACCTATGGTTTAATGTAACAGTTTTAGCTATTAACATTCTTCGGCCTATTTTGAATTAATTTTGTATATGTTTTGAGGTAGGAATGAACTTTATTCTTTTGCACACAGACATTAAGTTGTCCCAGCACTATTTGTTAAAAAGACCATTCTTCATTGATTTGTCTTGACATCCTTGTCAAAATTAGTTGATCATGCATATGAGAGTTTATTTCTAGATGGTCAGCTCTGTCCACTGAACTACATGTTTACCCTTTCGTCAGTATCAGAATCTTGATTGTTATAGCTTGGTAGTGAACTTTAAAATCACCAAATGTAAGTGCTCTTTGCTGTTTCTTAAGATTGTTTTGTTTAGCTAACTTACAGTTCCAAATGAATTAGCTCATAAATTTCTACCACAACACCATTCAAGATTTTGATAAGGATTGCATTAAATCTGTAAATCGTTTTTGGGATTGTTACCATTTCAACAATATTAAGTCTTCCTATCCATGATTATGGGATAGATTGGTATTAGTTTTACACTTCTTTTCTTAAATTTATTCCCAGGGATATTATTATATTTGATACTATTATAAATGGAATTGTTTTCTAGATTTCATTTTCAGATTGTTCATTGGTACTGTGCAAACATACAGTTGATTTTTATTTATGTAACCATGCTGTGAATTCATTTATCAGTTCTGACAGTTTTTAGTGGGTTTGTTAGGATTTTCTATGTACAAGAATATGTCAGCTGGGCCCCAGTGGCTCACACTTGTAATCCTAGCTATTTGGGAAGCTGAGATCAGGAAGATCATGGTTCAAGGCCAGCCCATGGAAATAGTTCAAGAGATCCCATCTCCCAAAATAACCAGAGCAAAATGGACTGTAGGTGTGACTCAAATGGTAGAGCGCCTGTTTGCAAGATCAAACTCCAGTCCCACTTACAAAAAAAGAAAACATGCCATCTGAAGATACAGTTTTACTTCCATTTTTTGCCTAGTTGCTCTGGCAGCTTAAGTACAATGTGGAATAGAAGTAGCAAAGACATATATCCTTGTCCTGTTCTTGATCTTAGGGTAATAAATTTTAGACCATTATGTGTGATCAATAGATGGTTTTTGTTCAGTATTCTGTTAGGACATTATTATATTTTACTTAATTTTATTTCCTTTAGAAGACAGGATCTCACTGGGTTCAGCAATCTTCCTGCCTCAGCCTCCCAAGTAGCTGGGACTTTATAATCACATGCCACTGTGTCCAGCTTAATTGATTTGTTAAATGAATGTTGCATTCCTGAGATAAATCTCATTTCTTTATGGTAAATGATCCTTTTTTATATTGCTTGATTTTGTTTGATGGTATTTTCTTCCTTACCTCTCCTCCCCTCCTCTCCCCTCCCCTCCTCTCCCCTTTCTTTTCCTTTTCTTTTCTCTCTTCTCCTTTCCTTTCCTCTCCTTTCCCCTTTCCTTCTCTTCCCCTTCCTTTTCCCTTCCCCTTTGCTTTCTCCTCTCCCTTTCCTTTTTCCTTTCCCTTTCTTTCTCTCTCTCCTTCTCTCCCCCCCTTTTTGTGTTACTTGATTTGAACTCAGGTCATCACACTTTTTAGACAGGTACTGTACCATTTGAGCCATTCAACTAGTCTTTTTTTGCTTCTAGTCCTTTTTCAGATAGGGTCTTGTGTTTTTTGCCTGGGACTGGCTTAAACCATGATCCTCTGGTGTATGCCTCCCTCTGTAGCTGGGATGCCTGGCTTCTTGGTTGAGATGAGGGTCTCACTAACTTTTTGCTTGGGCTGGCAAGTAGCTGGGATTCATAGATGTGCTCCACCACACCTGCCTAATAGTATTTTGTCACTAGTTTTGTATCTGTATTCCTACTAGTATATAGGTTTTTTTGTTTGTGTGTCTAATTGTAATGTTTTGTCTTTGGTTTTAGAATCATAGAATGAGATGGGAATTGTTCCTTGATCTTCCATTTTTTGGAAGAATTTCTGAAGAATTGATAGTAATTTTTCTTTGGATGTTTGATAGGCTTCGCCAGTGAAGCCATTTGGGTCTAGTCTTTTCTATTTGAGTAGTTTTACATTACTAGTAATCTCTTTTAAAAGTTTATTCAGAGTTTTCTATTTTGCCTTAGCTCACTTTGGGTTTGTATCTTTTAGGAATTTGTCCATTTAATTTGTTGGCATGTGGTTGTTTATGCTATTCTCATAATTTTTGTGTAAGGTAGAAAGTAATGTCCCTTATTTCACTCCTCATTTTAGGAATTTGAGTCTTCTTTTTCTTGGTCAGTCAAATATAGATATTTGTCATAGTAGTTGTCTTTTGGTTGATTTTTTTTCCAAGGAACCAACTTGGTTTTGTTGAGATGAGTGAAAATACATACCATAACTTAGGGAATGTAGCTGAAGCAGTCAGTGCTCAGGAGGAAGTTCAAAGTTGTGATAGCCTATATACTAAGCATGATAAAAGAACCAACTTTAGATTCATTTTATTACTTTTACCTCATGTCCTTGGTATTTTTTTGTTCCTCTATTCTCTCTCAAGATTACATATGCACTTCCAGTCTTTGGGGAGAGACTTTAAGAAAACTCTGATGGTTTCTTGTCTTTACAGATGTTAGAAGAGAAAACCAAAATTTCTGTCAATGACTTCATTATAAAAGCTTCAGCTTTGGCATGTTTAAAAGTTCCTGAAGCAAATTCTTCCTGGATGGACACAGTTATAAGGCAGTAAGTATAACTGGAGAAAGTATACATCCATCAGCAGCTCTGTTATGTCACTAACTAGGAGTTGGAGGGGGGGATGACATTCGTAGATGAAGCAATTTGAAAACAACACAAAACCACTTATGAGATAGTGCCAAATTTAACTAGCAAAGGCTACATATTCTTTGTATGAGTTCAATAAAGAATACAAAAATATGTCTTAATGAAGCTGATAATAACGCTCACAAAATAATGTTAAATGGATAATTTTTGTTCACCAGTGAGTTCTACCACACTTCATGAGCAGTGTTGAAGATAGTATTTGTTAGCAAATTTGGTAACAGTGTTGTGGCAGCACACGACTAGCACAGCACGGATTGCGTTTCACATGTTTTCATTTAGTCCTTATGGCTGCTTTGTGTGGTAAGTACTTTCACTAGCATTTTTTTTTTCTTTTTTTTTTTTTTTGATGAAGGAATGGAGACTTAGCGAGTTAAATATCTCAGTTAATATCTTAGTGTCAGAACTGTGGTTGGAACCAGGATTCTGACTCCTAAGCCTGGGCCTTTTCTAGTACGTAGATGCTTTATTGTTGTTATTACCATTGTTGTTATTTTTATTATTATTATTATTTTTTTCTACTCTGCTCTCACGTACTCACAGAACCACTTCTGAGACCAGATGTGTGAGTGTGTTGGGGGAGGTCCCCACACATCAACCAAGCAATCAGTTTTATAAAGATATCATCCAAATCAATTCAGTTCTGACTGTCTACCTAGAGATAGTGTGAGATTATGGGCTCAGTTCCACATACTGCCCCCACTCAAATCTGGTCACCCTTATTTCTGACTAAGTAGCCACAGAGGTTCCCATGATCCCCCTCTTTGTTGGGTAGGACAGCTTATATAATTGAAGGAACTAATATGTGTACTGCCTTCCTATAAAGAATATTACAAATGATACAGATGAGCACCCAGATAATGGATGAACAGAGTGAGGCATGGGCTGGATGCAGAACTTCCATATCCTTTCTCCTACACTGCCCTTCCCGCACCTCCATTGATGGACATTTCTAAAATATTAACATTGAATATGTATATTAAAAATATGTCATTTGTGCTGGACGCCAACGACTCACCCCTGTAGTCCTAGCTCCTCAGGAGGCAGTAGAGATCAGGAGGATTGCAGTTCAAAGCCAGCCTAGGTAAATAGATCATGAGACTCTATTTTGAAAACCCAACACAAAAAAGGGCTTGCTCATGTCATAGAGCTCTTGTCTGGCAAGCGTGAGGCCCTGAGTTCAAAACCCCAGTACAGCAAAAAATAAAAAAATGTCATTTGTAAATATAAAGTAGTTAATATTTCATATTAAATATTTTAATTTTTATGGCCTTCTGTTTTGTGTCCATGTAAAGTAATTGTGTATACCATAACCTGATTTTACTCCTTATGTGTACTCCTTATAAAATCTTTCTGAAACTCCCCAAGAGAACTCTTTTTGGTTTTTGGTGGTACTGGAGTTTGAGCTCAGGCCTCAGGGCCTCATCTTGCTAGGTAGGTGCTCGACTACTTGAGCCACTCTGCCAGCTCCCCAAGAGAACTCTTAAAGCATTTTTTAACTGGTCAGCATACTGAATGATCTATTGGTTGTAACTTTTTTCCTTGGTCACTCCCCTCTTACAGAACACCTGAGAATCTTAGATTCCTTATGAACTGTATTAGTTTCATTTGACTTCTGTTTTTAGCATTGTACCACAAAATAAGTGGCTTAAAACAAATTAGGACTAGGAATATACCTCAGTGCTCAGTGGTAGAGCACTTGCTTAGTATGTGTGAGGCCCTGGATTTGATCCCCAGAACCAGCAAAAGAAACAAAACAAAAGTAATCATCAGAAATATATTCTTTCATGGTTCCAGAAGCTAGAAGTCCATATTCAGGGTTTTGGTAGGGCTGTACTTCCTCCAAAGACTCTAGAGGAGGATCTTCTTTTTTTTTTTTAGGCTCAGTGGTTTTCTTTTTCTTTTTTTTTTTATTGTTTTATTATTCATATGTGCATACAAGGCTTGGGTCATTTATCCCCCTGCCCTAGAGGAGGATCTTTCCTTGCCTTTACCAGTTCCAGAGGCTGCAGGTATTTCTTGGTTTATGATTGCATAACTCCATACTCTACCTCCAGCTTTATATGACCTCCTTCTCCTTGTCTTTTTCTCTTTAATATGGACCTTGGCACTGGATTTAGAGTCATCAAGATAACCCAGGATGATCCCATCTCAGGATCATACCCGCAAAGGCTGTTTTACAAATAAGGCCACATTGATGTGTTCTGGGGATTAGGGCAAAGATGTCTTTTTGGAGTGTGACACCCAACCCACTAAGTAGACTTTAATCAGCCAGTTTTCCTGTTTTTAGCACTGTCCAAATCACATACTGCTTTCTGGTGCCTGAGCAGAAGTGGCTTGTGTCTTTCAGCATTCATAGTCTTCCATATTTCATATAGTTTCTACTATCACTACTGTGAAACCATCTTCCCGTGCCAATCTGAATTAGCCACTATTACTGAGTATGCCATCTTCTGCTGCTGGGATACTGTTGAAGCTTCCCTTTCTTTGTGTTTAGATGCATTCCCATGCTATGAGCATGGTGATGGTTAGCACAGCAACTCACATTTAGTGTGTGCTGAAGCAACATAGTTAATTCTGATGAGAATCTTGTGTGAAGTAGGTACCATTATCATCTCCATTTCACATGAAGAAACTGAGACAGAGAAGTTAAGTAACCTGCCGAAGGTTATATATCTAGTAAATGGTGAGCCAACATTTGAATCCCAGCCACATAGTTCAGCTTTGTGTCATAATAACAAAATAACTGAGATAGACAACTTAATGAGGAAAGGTTTATTTTGGCTCATGGTTTCGTAGGTTGCAGTCCATGGTCACTTGGCGTTACTGCTATGGGCTAGTGGCAGCACAGTACATCATGGCAGGAGCACATGGCGGAGGAAGCCTGTTTACCTCATGATGGTCAGGAAGCAAAGAGGAAGACAGGAAGGGGTGGGGGCTCAGGATCCCCACCCCATGATCTGACTTCCTCCAACCAGACCCCACATCTTAAAAATTCCTGTACTTCCCAATAGTGCTGTGGGCTAAGGACCACTTCTTGAACACATGGGCAGTTGAGGGACATTTTATATCCTACCTATAGCACCAACTCTCTGAACCAACACTAAAGCCTGGTCTTGAAATACAACCCTGTACTGTTATATCTTGTCTGTTAAAATCATACCTATCTTTAAAGTGCAGCTCAAGTTCTACCTCTTTTAATGCCTAATGTAACAGTTAAGGTCTCCTTCTGAATACTTCTCTGAATATTATATATATTACTCACATGGTATTTTCATTAGTGCAACAAATATTTATTCAATACTAATTATGCTTTTTTTTGGGGGGGTTGAGGGAGAGAAGATCCCACTAGGTAGCCCAGTCTGGCTTTGTACTTTTGACCCTCCTGCCTCAGCCTTCAAGTGCTGGGATTACAGGCATGCAACACCATGCCCAGCTTTGGTTGACCATACTTTGTTTATGCATTCACCAGTTGATGGACATTTGGTTGTTCTTACTTTTTTGCTATTATGAATAATGCTGTGAATATCTGTATACCATTTTTTGTGTAAACATGTTTTCATTTCTTCTGGGTAGATTCTTAGAATCTCTGAGTCATTTAGGTAAACTTTCACCCTATTTCTCAAACTTTGTTCAATCTTCACACCAACACTTGTGTTGTATGTTTTAAATAGTTAATCAGAAGGATATGAAATGAGAGCCATCCACTTTTAATACCACGTGAAGAAAATACTGCTTAGTTGATAGGATCAAGGTTGCATGGCAAGTTTTTTTTTTTTTTTGGTACTACTGGGATTTGAACTCAGGGCCTCATGTTTGCTAGGCAGGCACTCTACCACTTGAGTCACTATGCCAGCATGAATGTCAAGTTTTTTTTTTTCCTCTGGTACTAAGGCTTGATCTTAGGACTTCATGCCTGCTAGGCAGGAGCTCTACTGCTTGAGCCATACCTCCAGCCCTTTTTGCTTTGGTTATTTTGGAGATAGGGTCTCACTTTTTGCCCAAGCCTGCCTGAACCAATTCTCCTATTTCATGCTTCCTGCTATGGCTGGGATGACAGTGCATGTCACCACACACAGCTATTGGTTGAGATGGGATCTCACGAACTCTTTTTGCATGGGCTAGCATGGAACCTTGATCCTCCCAATCTTACTCACAAGTAGCCAGGATTACAGATGTGAGGCACTGGCACATGGCTTCATGGTGTGTTCTACAAATTATTTATTAATTTTTACCAAATGCCCTTTGATTACTTGTTCATAAAGTCATTCAACAAGTACTTATTGAACATGTACCGCTTACTTGATTCAGTGGTAAGCAGATAGAGAGTACCATCCCTACTCTTTCTGGAGGAAAGTTATATTATAACAGGATAATTTTTTAAACCACATTTTTCCTTTTAGTTCATATTTACTTGCACATATTTCTGGGGTTCAACATGACATCACATGTGTACAAAGTGTAATGAGCAGCTCAGGGTAATTGGTGTATCTTACCTCATACATTTATCACTTCTTTGTTCAGAATAATTCAGAATTCTAGCTATTTTGAAATACTCAATTATTATAATAACAGGATAATTTAATCAAGAAAGCAGTATTTGCTGTTATCTTGGCTTGAGTCTGACTGTGGTAACTAATAAGGATAGCACACACTAAATTTTTATTAGAGCAGGACTCTGTGTTTGTAAGTACCAAAGGCCTGCCTCCAGCCAGCTTGAGCAAATTAGGTGTCTGCAGTTTTCTAGAGCTTACACCTGAGAGGTACTGGAGTTCTTTCTTTGGATCAGGGCTGTGCCTTTGAAGTTTTCCTTTCTCTTTATTTTTTGTGGCACAGGGGTTTGAACTAAGGGTTTCACACTTGCTAGGCAGGCACTTCTACCACTTGTGCTGTTTTCCATTCTCCTGAGTGCACAACACTTTAGCAGGTCCGTATAGAAGCTGTTTTGTGACTGCAGATGCAATTCAAAAGTTTGTGAACCTGGGGTGGGGGGAAAGTCACTTCTTTTTTCTTTAATCTCTACTGAAATTTAGCATTTCTTCTTACTATGAATGCAGAGAACAAATCAAACAAATGTGAGCAATACTTGTGGCTGGTGCCCAGTAAGATTCTGTTCATATCACATTGTAGTAGCATACATCAAAAGTGTTCTATTCATCGCTACAAAATGATAGCCATTA